TAGACTCCTTTGCATTTTGCACAGTGCCTGGTATACTGCAAAAACAAATATTTAGTGAATTAAAACAGCAGAACAAATAGGAATGCTCTGCCAATCTCTGCTTACAGCTACTGCTTTTCACTGCCGTCATCATTTTGGTACAGCTCCGAGACTCCACTAATTACACAGGAATGTCTCATGTTTGTATTTTAGACCAAGTTCAGCCATAAAGTAAGGCACGAGAATACAGCAATTGAAAGTATGAATTGAGCCCGGCATGGTCGTGCACCCGTTACTCTAGCACTCTCGAAGGCTGAGGCAGGACATTCCAAGACTGAGCCGAGCCTATGCCATTTAGTGACTTAGTAAGACTCTGTTTCAAAATACAAAGCAAAAATGCAAAAGAGAGAGAGAGAGCCTGGGGATGTAGCTCAGTATAAAGACTCTGGGTTCAGTCCCCAGCAACACACACAAGTGTGCACGCGCACACACACACACACACACACACGCATGCTGTGGGTCCTGGAGCCAGATCATGTAGACTGAAATCCCAGCTCCATGATTTACGACTGGGGTGGGTTTCTGGGTAAGGCTCATACCTCTGATACCTCTATTTCCTCATCTATAAAACACAGATAATAGGGCCGGGGATTTAGCCAGTGACACCAAGTCTGCCTAACAAGCACAAGGCCCTAAGTGTGATCCAAAAAAAAGATAATAGTATCTACTTCATAAAGTTGTTATGAGGATTAAATGAGCTAATATTCATAAATCATATATTACAGTACCTGAAAATATGCTAAGTACTGTGTTTATAAAATAAAATACTACTCTAACTTACAAGATTTTATCCCTTAACCACATCTCAGTCTAGCAATTACTTCAGAATAATTTTCTTCTTTTTCTGTTTCAGCAATTTTATTTTTAAAAAATCCCTCGAGGGCCAGGGAATTTAGCTCAGCAGTTCCTGCCTGCCTTGCAAGCACAAGGACCAGAGTTTGATCCCTGATACCAAAAAAAAAAAAAAAAAAAAAAAAAAAAAAAAAAATCCCTCAACCTTTACATAATAACTAATTACACTTTTTTGGCATGCAGAGTACAAAGAACAATAGCCTGGGGTCAAACAAACCAGATTTAAATCCAGAATCTGCCATACACCATATGCTAATGTCCCTGAATCTCCAGCTCCATAACTATAAATGAGAATAACACCTACTTCATTGAGCTGTACAAATAAAATGTAATCTATTTAAGCATATGATAAACATTGGTTTTTATTAGTTATATCTTATGGTGGTTGTTTTTTGGGTTTTTTTTAAATACTGGGGACTAAACCTGAGGGCTCTTTATAGCTGAGCTACATTCCCAGTCCTTTTAATTTTTATTTTAAGACAGGGTCTCACTAAATTGCCTATGTTGGCCTTAAACTTACGATCCTCCTGGGCCGGGGATTTAGATCAGGGGCGCCGCACCTGCCTTCCTGAGTTCAATCTCCAGTACCTCCCCGCCCCCCCGCCGCAAAAAACACAACTTAAGATCCTCCTGCCTCAGCCCCCTGAACAGCTGAGATTACGGAGGTGTAGCACCATGCCAAGCTATTAGCTACATCATTTAAAACTTAACAAGTTAATTTTTATTAGTTAACCTAATCATTCAGTTCACATTTTCGGAGTCTTATTATGGGAAAATGTTTACAGTTATAATCAATATGTACAAAAGTACTGTACAAATATTTTCCCTGTACTGATGATCCAAGTATTATCATTTTAATAATTATATCCTATTCCCTTTTGTTAGTATATCATAGATGACTTAGCCATTTTACAATTACTAGACATGTATTTTCATTAACTTTTCCTTACCTATTTCATTATCTGATCCTCATTCTATTTCTGTGTTATGGAGGTAAGTGGGTCATTTCCACCTCAGACGAGTGGATGGCCTAGAAAGTTTGGGAGTTCTTCCTAGTTAAGTAGCTGGATATGATCACAAGTAAAACCAGAATCCACATTCCTATCTTTAAGTTTACTGATTTCCCCCCTTTTGTTTCAATTTCTCCTTTACTTAGAATATTGCAAAAGATTTTTAAAACAATATAATTTCTGCCATTAAGTCAATAAGCTTTATGAAATATTAAAACTATTTTTATTCCATGTTATACATTAGTAACAACCAAGTACAAGGCAAACAGTTACACTTCTCCAACTAAACTCAATTTTATATTTTCCTAAACTGAAATCTTACATTTAATTTACTGAAACCTTCACACCTAGTAGTACTGTTACGCTTTATGCGTATCTGGATGGATCAAGTGTGACATCCATCACTTCAAGCAGAGGCACTGCTCTAGAAGCTGGAGAGAGCAGGGACTAGAACCATGGGAACGTCATTGCTGCCCGAAGGAAGCTTATGCTGCAGTAGTGAATATGGTAAAAATCACTAAATGCACAACATGTTAGTGTAAGTGTGAAGGAGAACAAGTAGGACAAGGGGCCCAGAGGTGTTGGGAAGGTGGTTGGATGTTACATGGGGTGACCAGTGAGGCCCATTTAATAGGGGACATCGAGTAGAGACCTGAAGGAGCTGAGGGTGCAAGCTACGTGGACGTCTGAGGCAGAGCCTCCCAGGCAGAGGCTGACTGGGAGCTTGAGTGGTGTTTTAGCAACAGCAAAGAGCCCAGTGCAGCCAGCACAGAGTAAGGGGAGACAGAAGGTGAAATTAGAGAAGTAATGACACCCTCAGCACATAAGACTTGGAGGTCTTTGAAAGGTCTTTGAGACCTGTTCTGAGTGAGACGGGAACAGGGATGGCGAACCTTTTAAGAGTTTTCAATGATAACAAACAGCTGTCTGTGGCACATGTGCTACGGGTTCCCCACCACTGTCTCAAAGGATTCTGAATGGGGCACGAAAAAGCAGGAAGACCAATTAGGAGACAAATGAATAATCTCAGCAAGAGAGGACAGCAACTGGACCAGGTGAACATGATGTAAAGGTGAAGCCAACAGGATAGGTGAGAAGTGTAAGGAAAGGAAAAGAAGAATCTCCAAAGATTTTAGGCCTCAGCAACCGCAAGAAAGAACCTGGTTTTTATAGCAAGAGAAACTGGGAGGGGAGGGGGTTCTCAGACTATTGGAAACTCTTTTTTTTTCTTTTTTCTTTTTTTTTTTTTTTTTTTTTTTTTTTTTTTTTTGAGACAAGGTCTTGCTGTGTAGTTCAAACTGACCTTGAACTCAGCAATCCTCTGGCCTCAGCCTCCCAAGTGCTGAAATTATAGGCATGCTTCAGCAAGCCTGGTTTGGAAACTACTTTTAAACAGTAGTTTTAGAGATACCTTCACCACAATACAAATGTCAGCTAGGTGTGGTGGTACAGGCCTGTAATCCTAGCACTCAAGAGGCTGAGGCAGGGGGATCGTCACAAGTTTGGGGCCAGCCTGGGCTACATAGCGAGTTCAAGTCCAGTGTGAATTACATGGACAGAGAGTGACAGGGAGGAGAAGCAAGCAAGCAAAATGCAAGTATCAGCTGAGTATAATGCTGTAGGTATGTAAACCCAGCAATTTGGGAGGTTAAGGCAGGAGAATCACAAATTCAAGGTCACCTTGGGCAACATAGCAAAGGCCTCTTCTGGAGGAAAAATCTATTGTTGAATTGGCAGCGTGGAACTGGAGATGTAAGACTAGAGACACAATTTAGGAGTCATCTACAGAGAGACAGCATTTTAAATGAATGCAATGCAATGAAGAAAAAAGCCCAAGGCCTGAACTTTGGGCACTCTAGTGTTCAGAGCTGGGAAACAGCGCTGAAAACTGTGCGGGGGAACCAAGCAATGTGATCCTGGAGGTCAAGTGATCAAAGTGTTTCTAGAAAGAGAGACGGATCAATTGACCAACACATAAATCACAGGAGGACTTAACAAGGTACTGATTCTTAATGGCTTTAAGAGACCTCAAAATATCTCTTATTTAAGAGTCCCACAAATAAAATTAACTAAAATTTGATTCAATTTAAAAACCGTTGGTAGGCAAAAGTTAATGATTAAGGACTGGAAGGCAAACTTGCTATTCACTGCCTTCTGGCTGCTATGCCATGAACTGTTTCTCCTCTGTGATGCCCCTCTGCTATGCTGCCTGCTTTGAAGCCAGCCTATTATGGACTAAAACCTCTACAAACTGTGGCCCTGAAATAAATCTTTACTCCTTCAGCTTGTGGGTGTCAAGTTTTTTGTCCCAACAACAAGAAAAGTAACTAAGAGCCCCTACCTCAAAGATTTCAGATGTTATCCTCAATTAATTCCTGTTTTCTCAAAGCACTATTTACAGTAGAAACCAAAATAGAATTCTAGATTACAAATACAAAATATTCAATTAGTATTTTAGAATAACATTAAAATATTTCCCTCATATCTGTATTTATCTTTCAAATACTACCTTTTAAGCCCCCAAATCTTGTTTTGTTTTGTTCTGGGGATCAAACTCGGGAACTTTCACTTGTGAGGCAGGCAACAGCACAACTGAGCTAAATCCCTGGCCCTTGTTTTGTCTTCTGACACAGGGTGTTCCTCTGTGGTCCAGGTTGGCTTTGAACTTGCTATGTAACCCAGGATGGCTTCTACTTCAAAATCCCATTCCTAAATCTCCCAAGTGCTGGGATCATAGGTATGTGCCATCATGCCAGGTCCAAATCTTTTATATACATAATTTCAACTGTTAGGTATCTTCTAGACAGCTGTACAGAGAAGCTGTTGGGTCCACTGAAAGGTCACACCAATATTCTGAACAAGGAATCTTGTATCTCTTTTTTGTTTTGTTTTGTTTTGTTTTGTTTTGCAGTACCAGGGATTGAACACAGGGCCTCTGCCCTTAAGTACATCCTCAGTCCATCTTTAATTTTTATTTTGAGACAGGGTCTTGCTAAATTGCCCAGGCTAGGGTCCAAATTGTAATTGTTCTGCCATAGCCTCCCAGAGGGCTAGGATTATAGGACACCAGTAGGCCCAGCTTATATTGATTTTTTTTTTTCTGTCAGGCAAGTATGGGGCTCCACAAGAAAGCAGAACCTTGCCAGGGAGGGAGATGTACTTTCTCATCTATCTTCAAGCTATATTGGTTCTTTTTTTTTGGTACTGGGAATCAAACTCAGAACCTTGTGCTTGCAAGGCAGGCATGGTGCCACTGAGCTAAATCCCTGGCCCTGCTGATTCTTGACTAACTGAAATTAAACTTAAAATTTTATGACATATGACATACCTCTTTCATATACTGATTATATAGTGCTTCTGATGATTCTAGGTAAGTCTGTGCAGTTTCGATTTCTTCTCTTTCAGACCATAAAATACCCAAGTTATTCTAAAAAATAAAGAAAAGAGAAGCAAAGAATGACACAAGATGAATTAAAACAACTCTCATACTTTCAAAGACAATATTTACCAGTCAAACAGTATTGGCATTTGATTAAAAATGAATTACTCATAATAGTCCTAACCATATATAGTATGATAGATAACCACTAAGTAGGACTCCAAAAATACCTGCCTCCTACTATCTATGCCCTTGGTAATCTCTTCCCCCTTGAGTATGGGACTGGATTTAGCTATTTGAATTTAATGAACAAAATTAGGAGAAGTGAAGGAAAGCCATTTCTAAGATTAGGGTATGAAATGCTACAGCAACCACCTTGTGTCCCCTCCTGCTCTCTTCAGGAAGCCAGCCATCATGTTGTGAGGCACCCTGTGGAGACGCCAGGGTGGAAAGGAATGGAGGGGGTCAACAGTTTAAGATCCTTGGATAAGACATCTGTGAGGAACTAAATTTTGCTGACAAAGATGTGGGAGAGTTGGAAATAAGGACTCGCCCCAGTCTAGTATTCAGGTGAACCTGGGCAGGAGGAATCTCGAGCCAGAGACAGCAGGAGCTCAACTTAGGTGCAAATGACTTAACAGGCAAGGAGCTGGGCCAGGCTGAGACCCTGAGGTAACAGAGACGAAGATAAACCAGAAACATAATGTTTTCAAAATCTTATAATCTCCTGCAGAAACCGCTTTAAAAAAAGAAACATTCTCAATAGTTACCATTCCATAAGCCTGTAATTCAAATTATGGTATTAAAATTCTTAAAATGGGGCCGGGGATTTAGCTAAGGGGTTCTGGCATGTACTTTGTTAAGTGCAAGGACCAAAAAAAAAATCTTAAGATGCTATGTCTTTTCTTGTCAGTGAAATCAGATTCCTAATGTTTAGCATTTCGAACAATAAAATAAAGCCAGATGTGGTTGTAATGTAATCTCAGCACTCAGGAGGCTAAGGCGGGAAGATTGCTGCAAGTACCAGGCCAGCCTGGGTTACTAGTAAGTTCAAGGACAGCCTGAACTACCCTACCCCGTCTCTAAAAACAAGCAAACACACAAATCAAACAATAAAACATGTTTGTGTTTCCGGAGAGTTCTTAAAATTTATAGTTTTATCATATCCTGCCAATCAAAAAGTCACTGATTCTTCTTTTTTCTCTGTCTTTTCTTGTATTGATCTCTATGCCTGGCCTCTTCTTTTCTATTTCCAACTGTACCAACTTTTTTCTGCTACCATGAAGGCTAAAATGAAGCTGGAGCTGGGGATTTAGCTCAGTGGTGCCGCCACCTGCCTCACAAATGCAAGAACCTGAGTTTGATCCCTGGTACCAAAAAAAAGGGTAGTTGAGTGGATTTGAGGTTCTTTCCTAATAACATGTTTAAGTCGTGTCAGTTTTTCCCCTGCCTTGAAACCCTGACCAGGCTCTGCAGTGAAAACAAGGCCTGTTTTGAGGGTCAGAACTCAGTACTAGAGGACTAGGGCCCCACTAGACAATGGGGTTATACTGCCTTGCATCCTAGGGATGCTCCTCCTCACAGGACGCTTCTGAGCCTTGCGTCTACCATCTTCTCTTACTTCCCTAGGGAAGGGAACAGGATAAAGAATTAGTTTTTAATGAAGAGATGTTTTACCTCAGGTCTATGGACCCCCAAGGAGTCCATAGAGAATTCAGAGCCTATGAATTTGGACAGAGAAAAAAAAAAAAAATCACAAATTTATCTCCACTAATCTAAAATTGAGCATTTCTTTTGATTATCAATATAGGAAACAAACTGCAGCAGTACTTGGGACTTTGTGAACAGAAATGAAAAGAATTCATCATCTTTATGCTCAACATTAGAATTATCAAATACATTGATATAGTTGTTCAACATCAACAAAGAAGCATATAAACTAGGTGTGGTGGCCCAAGCCTATAATCCCAGCACTCTGGGAGGCTGAGGCAGGATACTAAATTCAATCCCAGCCTGAGAAACTTAGTGACTTTGTAAGAACCTTGTCTCAAAAAATAAAACCAGCTGGAGGTATAGCTCAATAAAAAGGCCCTGGGTTCAATCCCCAGTACAAAAAAAACTATAATGTGTACCTTTTTTTTTTTTTTCTTTTTTTTGAGACAAGGTCTCCCTTTGCCCCCTTGGCTGGCCTGGAACTCCTGGGCTTCTATCTCAATCGCCCAGGTAGCTGGGACTCCAAGCATGTGCCACCATAATGAGCCACACATTTGTTTTTAGAATATTTTAATCGGTAGAGGTGGCGCACACACACCTGAAACCCCAGCACTTAGGAGGCTGAGGCAGGAAGATCACAAGTTTGAGGCCAGCCAGAGCTATATAGTAAGTTCAAGGCCATCCTAAACTATATAGTAAGACCCTATTTCAAAAAACCAAAAATAAATAGTAAAAAATGAAATATTTTGATAGCTATACTACTATATTATTGACTTCTTTTGTAACTGTATATATTTCATTTAATGCACTTAAAATCATTACTATTATGAAATATCAGCTTCACCAGACTGCCAAAAGGGCATGTAGAACAAGAAAGGTTTAGAAACCCTACAGTTTAAAAGCAACTTGACGCCTGTAATCCCAGCACTCGGGAGGCTGAGGGAGGAGGATCGCTGTGAGTTCGAGACCAGACTGGGCTACATAGTGAGTTCCAGGTCAGCCTTAACTACATAGTGAGACCCTGTCTCAAAAAAACAAAAATAAATAAATAAACAAACAAACAAATAAATAAATAAAAGTGACTTGATCATTTCACTGGAAATAACTGTTTGGTCTTCTGGCTTCATGTAATATATTCAGACTATAAATTTATTTTTCATTTTGTAACTATTTTTAATTAGCCTTGGCATCTTGGATTGCAAGCCACACTGGAATTGCACTAAGACTGGGCAGTTCTCTGCTCTGTTATTCATGCAGTCCCTTCCAGGACCCTCAGAAGTAATGAAGGTTTGATAGACTCTGCATTGCTCATAATTTAACGACTGTCTTTCTCAGAGACAGATCCACAAGGCACCTTCTCCTCCATCCCTACTCCACTTTATTTTTTCATAGGATGACACAAGTCCCTGCGTAACTCCACTGAGGCATGACAGGAGTCAGCCACTCCCTCCCAACACTGTCACACCTGCTCCAGAAGGCCTGGCTGTGGCAGCGAACCAATGGCAGCATAGTATTTGTTTTCCTTTTAAGACAAAAGACATTAATGTATGAGTTTTTTCTGAAGTACAACATCAGTATTCAGGTTTAACTGCAGTGCTGTCACTTTGCAGTAAATCAATGGGTTTGGTGTTGCAGCTGGGTGCTCATCTATACAGGGTTCGCCATCACTGCCCTAGAGACTCACCTAGCAGCCAGAACTGGAAGGTAGGTCACACTGTTTTGGAACAGGGATGTATTTGGCTTCCAGATCCAGGGAAGGCTATGCCACAAAACGCAGCCATGCCAGTGTGTGATAACTCTTAAAACAAACAGACCTAGAGCATGTCCAGAAACTACGAAGATTCTTCTTTTGGAATATTAAGGTCCTGAAGGCAAGGACAAGTAGAGAGCTAGAATAGTTCTGTTTTTAAAATTAAATTACCTTTAGTTTTAGGTTTAAATGTTGACTCCACAGAGGAGCTGGGGATGTGGCTCAGAGGTACCATGCCTGCCTGGCACACACAAGGTCCTGAGTTCCATCTCTGGTACCACCAAAAAACAAACAAAAAACAAAACAAAACAAAAAAAACAGAAAAGTACTCATACAGTTCATATAGAACCTAGGAGTTGGGTGAATAATCTACTAATTTCTTAGGAAATGTTACTAAAGCAAAGTAATCAAGATGGTAATGCCAATAAGATGGTATATTGCTGACAGCAAGGATCAGAAGGAATATGAGAGGAAAATATTCCCAATGTCCCCAGAACACAGTGAAGTTAGTAGAAAGGAAGTCTCTTTTGATAATCTAATGTTAAGTTCAAGTTCTATAGCTTCACAAGAAGACAGATTGAGACAAAGCAGTTAGAATATCATAAATTCACCAGGTATGGTGGTACATACCTATAATCCCCGCACTCTGGGAGGCTGGAAGCAGGAGGATTGCAAGTTGGTCTGTTTTTGGTACCAGGGATCGAACTTGGTCCTTGCGCTTTCGAGGCAGGCGGCGGAACCACTGAGCTAAATCCCCAGCCCAGGATTGCAAGTTGGAATTCAACCTAGCCAACTTAGCAACGTAGTGAGACCCTGTCTCAAAACAATTTTAAAAGGGGCAGAGTGTGTGTCAGGATGTAGCTCAGTATAAAGGCTGCGAGTTCAATCCCTAGTGCTGTAAAACATACAAAAATGACTATCCTAAATTCCTATGACGTGCTTTCAAGCCTTTTCATATACATGTGTAAATATATACACACATGTATATATTTCTATGTTTGTTTTTGTTACTGGGGCTCAAACTCAGGGCCTTGCACTTAAGAGGCAGGCGGCAGAACCACTGAGCTAAATCCCCAGCCCTGCATTTGTATATGTATATTTACATGCATGTTATACATACACACTTCATATATGTAATATATATATACATATTACAAAATCTTATACAAAAATGGAATCATTCAACATAATTCTAAACATACCTAACAGTCTTCTCCCTCCTTTTTTTTTTTTTTTTTTTTTTTTTTTTTTTTTTTTTTTTTTTTTTTTTGCAGTTATGGGGATGGAACTCAGGATCTTGTGCTTATAAGGCAGGCATGGTGCCACTGAGGTAAATC